AGCAAAATGTTTCACTGAGTTCTGTGAGCCACTCCATTAATCAAACCCTTGAAGGGAATGGTAAAGAAGATGTAGTATACACACACACACACACACACACACACACACACACACATATATATATATACACAAGGGGATATTACTGAACCATAAAAATGGAATGAAATTGGGTCATTTGTAGTGACATGGATGGACCTAGCTTCTGTCATATAGAGTGAAGTAAGTCAGAAAGAGAAAAACAAGTGTTGCAAATTCATATATATATATATATATATAATGTAGAAAAATAGTACAAATGAACTTATTTGCAGGAGAGGAATAGAGACACAGATGTAGAGAGCAGACATGTGAATACAGCAGCGGAAGGGGAGGGTGGGACAAATTGAGGGGGTAGCTTCAGCATGTATACACTACCACGTGGATAACTAGTGGGAAGCTGCTATATAGCGCAGGTAGCAAGCTCAGGGCTCTGTGATGACCTGGATGGATAGGATAGGGGTGGGGTGGGAGGCAGGCTCCCGAGGGAGGGGTTTAAGTATACATATAGCTGGTTCACATTGTTGTACAGCAGAAACTAGCACAATACTGTAGAACAATTATACTCAGAAAAAGAAACAAGAAGGGGTCATTGGAACCTCCAGTCTATAGCTGGTTGGTACAAAGCACAGGTGGCAGTCTGGACTTATGACTGACTTCTGAAGTTGGGGGTGGTAGAAGTATCAGTCTTGAACAGCTGAGCCCCGCATATCTACCTGTGGGATCTAACAGCATCTCCAGGTGGACAGTGTCAGAACTGAGTTGAACTGAGGACACCCAGCAGATGTGCAGAATTATTTGCTCATGTGGAAAAAGCACACACATTAGAGCTGGTGTCAGAATTTTAATATTTTATCCCCACCCATTAGGTTTGGGGGCTTCTTGGGAATACTAGATGCATAGTGCAATTATAGATATTGTTTATAGGTCTTTGATTTTTTCATCTAGTTGCTCTATTTTTGTATTGGGAATTGGGGAGATTAAAAAACTATGCTACAGCTGCTCTCTCCTTTTCAGAATTTCTCCGTTTTTTCTGACCCATTACTACACTGATTCATCTTTTGATACCAAAGGAGTAAATTTTAATACATACAGAATATGAAACAGAGGACATTTCTAGTTATATTTTATTTAGAAATAGTCATATATAAGATAAGAATTCTTAACATGCATTGTTGTTCAGTCACTAAGTCGTGTCCAACTCTTTGCGACCCTGTGGCCTGCAGCATGCCAGGCTCCTCTATCTTCCACTTTCCCCCAAAGTTTGCTCAAATTCATGTCCATTAATTTGGTGATGTTATCTGACCATTTCATCCTCTGCCACCCACTTCTCCTTTTGCCCGAACTTGCATAATCTGGCAGTTTTGGGGAAGGTTTTCAGAAAAAATAAGGCAACCAATGGAAAATAGACTCACAAGATTTTTACTAACCATACACTTGAAAAGCAGTTCATCTTAAATAATTTTAAGAGACTTTAAGAAAATTGGAAAAGCTGGTAAAATAAGAATGCTGGCAGGACTTCCCTAGCAGTCCAATGGTTAACACTGCACCTTCCAATGCAGGGATGTGGATTTGATCCCTCATCAGGGAGCTAAGCTCCTACAGCCTTATGGTAAAAAAACAAAACATAGAACAGAAGCAGTATTGTAACAAATTCAATAAAGATTTTAAAAATGGTCCACATTAAAAAAAAAAAAATGACTTCCTTAACTCACAGATGTGGTAACTGAATAGTCTCTGCAGATCTAATTCCAGATCTTCACTGAGAACTGTGTTGGTCACGGATAGTCAGCCCAGGTTGCAGTGATCTGAATCCTTGTTTCTTCATTTTTTTTTCTCTCCATATGCTCCCTTAGCCAGGTTATTACCACTAGCACCACCATAGGTGTGCATGCTCAGTCATGTCCAACTCTTTGTGACCCCATGGATGCTAGCCCTTCAGGCTCCTCTGTCCATGGAATTTTTTAGGCAAGGATACTGGAAGGGGTTGCTGCTGCCTCCTCTGGGGGATCTTCCCAACCCAGGGACCGAACCCTCGTCTCCTGCACTGGCAGGTGGATTCTTTACCATGGAGCCACTAGGGAAGCCCAGGAGCATCACAACTGTAACGGATGCTCATTTAGACTGCACCTGTTTCCAAAGCGCTTCTCACTCATCCAATGCTCCCAAAGCCCTATAACTGTCAAGATGTGTATCAGTTAGGGATACACTCAGTTGCAAGTGACAGGAAGCCCAACTAAGATTGGCTTTAACATGTACTAATTTATTTTCCTATAAACCAAAATCCAAAGATAGGCGATCCCAGGTTGAAAAAGCTACTTTGCCTGACCATCATGGACCCCGTTCTTTCTACTTCTCCACTTTCCCATTCTTAACGTGTAGCTTTTGTCCTCATGGTTACAAAATGGTTGCTGCCTTTCTAATTATTATATGAACCATTGTCAAGATTGGGTCTTTGATGCTAAATGATGATAAAATTCAATACACATAACAACACACATAATTCAAGTACACATAAATATGAAAAGCACATATTCACTAGTCTTTAAATAGTTGAATCCTAAGTTTTTGTGGCCATGCTTGTGAGATACTCAAACACCTGGTCAGTTTAGACACTTGGAGGGGGGAGAATGTTTAAATTAATTTTATGACTGCTCAGTATAGACAACATAATCCGATAATTGGCAGATCCTAGGTGATGGACAGGTAGGCCTGGCATGCTGCGATTCATGGGGTCACAAGAGTCGGACACGACTGAGAAGACTGAACTGAACTGAGCCCCTATCTTGCTCCAATTTTTTTTTCTATTTATCCTACTTGTTCTTTTTCTAATGATGAATTCCAGCAGTTTTTTTTTAAAAAAAATGACCCTCCTTCCTGAGCGTTTTCTTCATAAATGGTAAATATATGAATATAGATGAAGATATGAAGTTATGGATATGAATGGAAAGTAGGAGATCAAATGCAGCGTTTTGAGGTTCTGTTGACTAGAAACTTGGAATATTTTACTTCCCTGGTACTCCTTCAGTTGGGTGTTACACGGGCTGAGAGTTCTTCCTTTTTTCTAGTCACTTTAGTTCTTTCCCTTTGACTAATGATGTTTAGGCACAATGAGGGAGAGACTCAGAGACAGAGACAAAGATAGCAGGAAAGAGAGATGGTGAGGTAGTGAGAGAGAGAAAGAACACCCCTGTGTGTCCATGGCTTGTCCATACAGAACACTTAAAGCATATATTTTTCCATGTGACTTTTGTGACTTCAGGGTTGGGAGTGGGGAGAGGTTGGATAGGGTGATAAGGAAATGTTCATCCAGTCCCATTTTTGCCTGTCTTGTCCTCTCTGATTGCTCTGATTCTAAAAGTGGTTCTCTGACCCATGGAATTTTGCCTTATCCATTCCCTGCCCATACTTCACTTAGAAATTCCCTGAGGAATTCTGCTGGTCATGGATGACAGTCACCCTTGGTGTCTCATTGTCCCAGTCCCTACAGAAAGTTGGCAGTCACAATAAAGGATGACTCAGGTGCCTGGTGACCACACCAAGCAAGTCTCTCATCAGTTTCTTTGTTCCTGGCTCAGTTCTGGGCATCTCTGTTGGAAGCAGGAGCTGGAACCATGCTGGTTCTGAGGCCTGGGCACAGCTTTTGTGTCTCTCTTTGGCTCTTGATAACCTTTGCTTTGGTTCTATCTGTTTGTCTTCCTCCGGAGGAGTTCTTTGAGGTCCCACATGCCTGATAACAATACCAACAACAGTGATGAACAGTGCTGCCATGTCCTGGGCACCCAACCATGTGCCACGTGCCCCCTGGTCCTTTTCTGTACCCTGTGTCCAAGCTCAGGGCAACCTTTTAAAACCAGATTATATTATCTTCATTTTGCTGATGAGACAACTGCTGTTGGCGAGACAACTGTGACTTTCCTAAGATTAGTTATCCGTTCTGTGACCATTTGGGGTTTCAATCTGGGTCTCACGTACTCTATAGCAAGGATCCTTTCCAGCGTATATCCCTCCTCCAGATATTGGACATGCAGAGGAGGGAACAGACACAACTTTCAGGCCTCTGAGTGCACTAGGTAACCTTGAATCCATGGTGACTAAGCTACTTCCTTTCATATTCTCCTTCAATACCACCGGTTACACGAAGCAGGAACTCTGTCTGCTGATGGTGAGGCTCTGACACCTGTCTGACATTTGTTAATCTCCCCTTTTAATAAAGAGAAAGCGGCCTCCAGCACTGAGCTTTGGGCAAGCAATTATGTCCAACTAGAATTTAATAGTACTGTTGTTTTTATACTTGTATTTGTTTTGTATGGCAACTTTCTTTTAATTCCAAGTGATATTAATTTCCCATTTGTAGTAGTGATGGAAAGTTTTCTTTCAAGATATATCAGTCTAGGTTTTAACAAGTGAACCCATTTGAAGAAAAATGTAAAACAAATAATGGTATGGATATAGGAGGATAGAGAAATTATGGAAAACTGATACTCAGATGAATGAAATATTAGAAGCAGTGCCCTTCTCAATATTTCACTTGTTTGTGACCCACAGGAGGCCAAGCCCCCGTGAGGCACAGATGGACATGACGACACATTGGTGCTTATACTTCTGATGCACGGGCACTATTTAGTGATATTGTAGTTCTTTGACAGAAGTGAGTCATATAGCATGTTTGATGAACATATTCCCAAGTCTCCATCTTTTGTGGAAGGGAGAGGAGATGGGTGCATCAGTAGGACTATCAGAGAAGGTGGAGTATAAGAAAGACTGGAAATGGGGCACGGACACATTGTGGTAGAGTCTCCAGGCATGTGGGGTCACTTCGGGGAATAGGAATTAGGAAGGCTTCCTGTGGCTCAGCTGGTAAAGAATCTGCCTGCAATGCGGGAGACCTGGCTTCGATCCCTGGGTTGGGGAGATCCCCTGGAGAAGGGAAAGGGTACCCACTCCAGCATTCTGGCCTGGAGAATTCCATGGACAGTCCATGGAGTCACAAAGAGTCGGACACAGCTTAGCGACTTTCACTTTCACTTGAGGAAGAGGCATTTGAGTTAGGCTCTTACTTATTTGAGGAATAAGTAGCCACTGATTATATGGATATTGTGTGGGGAGACAGGAGCAGAGAGAGAGAGTGGAGAAGTGCAATCTGAGTTTGGGAAACAGCTACTATCCATTTTGCTTTGAGCACTGGGAAATGGGACTGGAAGCACAGATTAAAGCAAAATCATTTAGAACCTAAAAGATAGGCCAAAGAGATGGTGCTTATTTTACAGTGGAGTTGGAATCCACTGAAGGCATTTCAGTAGGGAATGGAAATGAATAGGATCAGTTACTCACAGCACTCGGGTGCCCCAGCAACCTGTGTTTCCCCAACTTTGTCTTTTCTTTGTGTAGTAGGTGAGCTACTTCTGAGACCTCATTTCCTTCAGGGAGTCCTGTCCAAAATGCCCTTCATGCTGCTTAATATTCTATCAATATAAGTTCATCCCTCTAGGACCGACCAGTAGGTTGAAAACTGTAGAAGGGGCAACATTTCCAGTTCTTGAGTGCTGCATTGGGTAGAAAGTAGAGCTTCCAAGAGGGCAGTTACCCAGGAGTGGAGAGTTTGGAGATTTGGGCTTCCTAGTCATCTTTCCATCCACAAAAATGTGAATTTCTCCTCTTCTCTGCTTCTAACCTGACTCCTTGTGTGGAGATTGCACAAGGTCCTCCACCAGAAATCACATTCATGGGGAAAGCAAAACAGTCAGCAGGGTCTGTATAGCCAGGTGGTGCAGAGATGGTCTTTTTTTGAGGCCATCAGCCTGTTTCTCCCTTACTGCTAGAGGAGAAACTTTGAGGCCCAACTTTTTGGGTACCCAGGGGGTTGATTTTCCTTTCCCATGTTTTGTAATTTTTCATTGTGACCGCATCATTAGTGGAGCTTTATGGGAGGGAGTCTTGTGGGAGTTGGTTTAGGAGTATATATTCTTCTAGTGTGCTTGTTTATATCTGCCAGCTGACCCTGAAGAGATTTCCAAGCCAAAACTACTGAACTTGTAGATTCCAGGGAACCCCAAACCAGAGGTAAGAAACGTCTTGTCATTGCGAATTCTACTGGGAGATGGGGCTTCCCAGGTGGCTCAGTGGGAAAGAATCAGCCTGTAATGCAGGAGATGTGGGTTCAGTCCATGGGTTGGGAAGATCCCCTGAGGAAGGAAATGGCAACCCACTCCAGTATTCTTGCCTGGGGTATCCCATGGACAGAGGAGCCTGGTGGGCTACAATTGATGAGGTCACAAGGAGCCAGACACAACTTAGTGACGGAGCACACGCGCACTCATGGGAGACATTGAATGTCTTTTCCCACCCAGGGCTGAGTTTAGACGATCAAACTGCTTTATCTCTTTTTGCTGAAAAGATGACCTAGTCCATCCTGTAACAGAGGATGCAGCTTTTTGAGTGTCCTGGCTTGAGGTCTATATAAAGCCTTGACTCCCATCCCTATATGGTGTAAAAGACCAAGCTCCTATTTTGCCTAGACTGGTGACTATGAACCCTACCTGGGGGCAGCTACAGTATCATTTCACATATAACCCTGAAGACTTCTAGTCCATTTTTGTTTTAAGACTTTGGGAATTCCCCTGATTTTTTTTTTTTTTTCTTTTTGCAAGTTCAGTTTTGCTGCACTTAAAAGGATGTTCATTATATGTCATCCGGTAGTTCTAGAGACTTTGTAATCAGAGACTCTTCAGGTTATCTAGTCCAGAATATTCCTAGAGATAGAGATCTGCCAAGGAAATTGAAAGCCCCCTCTTCATAGTTATACCTACCCTGCATGGGCCATGGCTGAGGTTTCGGAGAAAATAAACATTTTAAGGAGATTTTGCAAGAGTGAGGAAGAGAGATGAGCAAATCTGATAATCTCTTTTTTAGGTGAAGACTTAAGTGAGAGATGTTGCAGGCAACTGCACTCTCTGAAGAAACTGGCTTCCTTGGCAGGACATCTCATGATTGTGACGTGATGTGATGTGATGGTTTCTTTTTCTTAAATCATGGAAGGATAATGCAATAGAGAGGAGGATATTTCATTTTAATCTTTTACATCTGTTCACCAGATATAAAAGGATAAAATAAGATAAAGCAATGCTCTCTTGAGAAGTCCATATTTTCAAAGGCTTTTGGCATTAATGTGCTTATTAATTGTCATAGATAGTCACTGTCATCAGAAGAATATTGTATAATATATAGTGGTCTTTATAGGACTAAGAGAGAGAGAATTTCAAGTTTCTTTCTTAATCTGAGCCACTTAAAATGAAAAACAAAGACCATTAAATCCTGTTCACTTGAAGGGGATCCTAAATATAGTTTATTGGGGCTCTTAATTCACCCTGAAAACTGCTATAATTATTAAAAGTGTCCAAGCTGTTAACTCGAAAACAACATATGCCACATTTACATAATGATTTGCATATAATTTCCATGTAATTCATTTAATGTCAAAATGTACAATTATGCTTCCAACCCCTCTGCCTTTTGCCCCCATGCCCCTTCCTGGCCCCACGGTGTTAAATCAGAATCTCTTCCTTGTTGGAAGCTATTTATGAATGGGTTTAGGAAAGATGGCTGGATGGAGGTCATCTGTTGTTTTAGTCCAAAAAGATCTTGGCCAAATGTATTTCTTCTTCCAGACTGGATTGGTTGTACTCTCTATTGTGAGTACATTATGGGGACCAGTTACTCAGTTCTGCTTGAGACATGGGCTCATTTTACAGATGAAGAAACTGAGGCTCAGAGAGGTTCTCCCTGGTGTGCTATGGTTGTCACTTGCTTTCTCTGTCCCAGCAATCCAAAGTCCCCCATCTGCCATACTAGAGGCTTTCTCGTGTATCTTTTACATGAGACAAATATAATTCATTTAAAAAAACAATCATTTGCCATAGCTCATGTGATTATTTGCTCTTGGGTTTGCCATCAAGGACAGAAAAGAATTCTTCCGTCAGATTCCAGAAACAAATTTATCCAATGTGGGTGAACTCTCTTTCTGTCTAAACTAACTGCAGCCCCACAAGCATGTCATGCTTTTTCTGGCTCCTACCTGTGTTTTCAATGTGGGCCCCTCTGCCTGCATCTCTGCACCCAACACCTGGTCTCCCATTTACACATCACCAGGATGCCTTCTTCCATGTCCTGTGACTAGGTTTGATGCCCTTAAAGTGAACTCGTGAATCACTCTGTTTGACTTGAGCTCCCTGAAAGCAACCCTTGAGACAGACTAGAGTGTAGGGACTTCCCTGGTGGTCCAGTGACTAATACACTCCACACTTCCAGTGCAGGCAGCCTGAGTTCAATCCCTGCTCAGGGAACTAGATTCCACATGCTGCAGCTAAGAGTTTGCATGCCGCAACAAAGACCCATGATCCTGTGTGCCGCAACTAAGACCCAGTGCAGCCAAATAAATAAATAAATATTTTAAAAAGAGACTTGGGTATAGGTACTGCATTTGGGAAGTGACCCCTGGGTGCAGGGATGAGGAAGCTGGGAGAGTGAAACCAGGAAGGAAAAAGTTAGGGGGCATCACTGAGGATGCTACTATCAACAATGGGAGCTCAATTCCTCTGGGTCCTCCTGGGAAGTGTCTGGATGGATTCCAGTATAACTGCCTGGAGGAGGGGAACTGGGGCATTTATCCACTGGCTCAGTCGCCATTGGCTGAGGGTTGCCCCAAGAGCTGCTCGTTTCCCTGCCCTTCCCAGCTGTGCAGCTGCACAGACTGACGAAGCTCTCCAGGGCTTCTGCCCTGTCTCGGTCATCCAGAAAACGCACCTGTGTGTTGCTCAGGCTGGTAGCAACATACCAGGCTCAGTCTTGGCTGAGATCAGAAGTAAGGCAAGCAAGTGTGTCCCCAGATGTGTCTAGTACTACACTCACCACTCTGTTTTGCATTTCTATCCTCCACTAGAGCTTAAGCATCCCAAGGACAGGTTGTGTGACCACTGGGTCCTCAGCTAGACACTGTGTTTGCTAATAATCTGTCACACGAATATATCAGGTACCAAATTCAGTTCAGCTTCAGCAAAGCTATTTATCATTAAGTTTAGCAAAGTCAGAAGAGCTGATTTCTTTAATTAGTCTTTTTTCCTCCCCAATTCCGTCCACCTTAAAAGTTGGAAGAAAGGAAATGAACCAAGGGGAATATTTCACATATACATTATGAAATTGCCAGAAGCAAAAAGAAAATCAGGTCCGTCCTGATTCTTCACTTGAAGATACCAGCAAATTCTGAGGCAAAATCATAGCTGATGTTTGGTTTCATTCAAAGGAATAGCATCTAATAAACTAAAGTTAAGTGGATAACAGCCAAAGCCATGGTTCGAGACACTTAGGGCCTTTTCTCCTAGAAGTAGCTCCATCTTTTTTTCATCACTTTGCTTTGTCATTTCTACTCACCTCTTCGCTACACCCTCTCAGTTGGTTTCCGTTCTCCTTTATTTCTCATCCCTCATGTTCTTCCTCAGGTCCAGGACTCCAGCTGGCACATGGTGCCGAGCATGGTGACAGAAACACATGGGCAATGAGGCCCCTTTCATTTTCAACTGCACATTTTATCAAGACAGAAAGCTGGGTGCCCATGTGCTGTGCCTAGTCACTCACTCGCGTCTGACTCTTGGCAACCACGTGGACTGCAGCCCGCTCGGCTCTTCTGCCCATGGGGCTTCTCCAGGCAAGAATACTGGAGTGGGTTGCCATGCCCTCCTCCAGGGGATCTTCCCAACCCAGGGATTGAACCCAGGTGTCCCGCATTGCAGGTGTATCTTAACTGAGCCGCCAGGGAAGCCCAAGCCCTTCTCCAGGGGACCTTCCCAACCCAGGGATCAAATCAGGGTCTCCTGCATTGCAGATGGATTCTTTGCCAGCTGAGCTACCCGGGTGCTTGTGGTTCCTCCTCAAATAAACATGATGATCTGACAGCCGGGAGCAAGAAGCCTCCTTATCTAGCAAGAATCTGTCAATATCGGGTCATCAGAGGTGGACCACAACTCGCGGTCACCAGTGGGGAGAGGGAAGGGGGAGGACATGGTAGGAGCAGGGGACTAAGAGGTACAAACTATCAGGGATGAAATAAACAAGCTATGAGGATATATTGTACAAATAAACAATAAAAATAATAATGTTAGATACATTAAAGCATTTTTAAGTAAAATACCTAGAAAAACTGGAAAAGAAAAGAAAATGTCAAGGAGTCGATGGGCCCTCAGAAGTGGCATGGCAACCCCCATGACCACCCCCATGTCTCCGGGGACCTCTGGGCCATGAAAACCTTGCCCTCCAGTGATCCCTAGGAACTGCCCATGCACCAAGGGGGTAGGCAGCTGCCAGACTGGACGAGAGAGGATCTGAGAGGGGAGGGGACATCTGGTCGGGAGGCAGAGCGGCAGCCTCTCTTCCTGCCTCCTTCCTCCTTCCGTAACTTTCAGATGCTCCGAGGGAATTCCTGTTGGCCCAAACACCTGTGCCTGGTGCATCCCTTTCTGGAAGCTCCATCTACATATTCTTGTGATTGACACTGAACTGTGTGTGTGTGAGAGAGAGACAGAGACAGGGACACACAGACAAAAGAGACAGAGAGAGGTAGAAATATTATATTATAATAATAGTTGTTTATAATAATGATGGGGCTCCCCTGGTGGCTCAGATGATCAAGAATTTGCCTGCAATGCCGGAGACCCAGGTTCAATCCCTGGGTTGGGACGATCCCCTGGAGAAGAAAATGGCAACCACTCCAGGACTCTTGCCTGGAGAGTCCCATGGACAGAGGCCTGCCCATGGAGGTCACAAAGAGTCAGACACCACAGAGAAGTCAACGAACACTATAATGAAGACGATGGCTGAATTTATCAAGATGTTTACAAGTTCAGGCACCATGCTGAGCTCTTCCCAGGTATCCTGGCATGAGTTCTGTGAATATTCCCACTGCACAGTTGGAGGACTGAGTCTCAGAAAGGCTAAGTGACTTACCCAGGGTCACACTGAGTAAGTGGAGTATGCAGACCTCACACACAGGCTTCAAACTGCAGAAATCGAGT